GTTAGCTAAAAAAAAAAAAAAAAAAAAAAACCCAAACAAAAACAGCACAATAAGGACCTAGGAAATTCATATGAATGGAATTGAAGAGCCATGTGCTTTTGATCTATTGGCCATGAGACACTCAGGACAGGCAAGTGATATAGAGTGATAGATGTACTTGCATGGGGAAACAAATGCTAATACCATTCAAGTTCATGGTCTACAATTCAGACATAACTGCTCAGGTTATTTTTCTTCAAATTTTAAACAGCTTGTTTTAGCCTGCTTTTTACTGCTTGGTCCAAAAACCTGACAAGAATAATTTTAGAGGAGGAAGAGTTTATTTGGGTTCATGATTTCATTGGTCTCAGTCCATAGATGGCTGACTTCATAGCTCTGGATTCACGATGAGGCAGAACTTCCATGCAGAAGGGCCCAGAGGAGGAAAGTAGCTTAGGACATGATAATCAGGAAGCAGTTAGTGCTCCTTCACTAGGGTCATGATATATACCCCGAAAACACACCTTCTCCAGTCACACTCTACTTGCCTACAGTTACCACCCAGTTAACCTATTCAAGTGGATTAATTCACTGATTGGGTTAGGAATCTCATAACCCAATCACATCACCCCTAAACTTTCCTTACATTGTCTCACACATGAGGTTTGGGAGAACACCTCATATCTAAACCAGAACATGAATGATTTCAGTTATTATAGTTTTTCACTGTTATGATTTGGATATGATTTGACTGTGTCCCCCAAGTGTTCATGGGTTGAGATATAAGCCAATTGTGAGATATTCAAAGGGTGGTAATTCACCTCAACTGTGGTATTTAGAGATTTGTCCTTAGGAGGAGATTAGGGTTGGATAAGATGATTAAATACTGGTAGCTTTATGAGATGAAGATAAACCAGAAGAGATACACACACACCTACACAAACCACATGCACACCTTGGCTCCCTGTCTCCCAAAATGTGATGCCCTGCCCCACCTTGGAACTCTGTCATCAAGAAAGTCCTCACTAGATGAATGCCTTCACCTTGAACCTCTGAGCCAAAATAAGCCTTTTCTCTTTAAAAACATATCCAGTCTATTGTGTTTTTTGGCAACAGAAAGTAAGCTAGTACACATATCATTACCTCTTTTAACTGTTCTGTTTCTCTCTATGAGATCCATGCCATTTATAATACTTTAAAATAGGTATTCCTATAATTTTAGGAAGGTATTAAAAGTAAAGCAAGCAGAACTAGGTGTGACTCCATGGTATTTCTTGTTTTGCATGGGCCAGGCCCTGATTTTCCCCATCATTACAGGGGGAGAAAAAGAACAAAAAGAAAAAATAAAGTAAAGCACGGAGAGTGAAGCAATTTAGAAAACTTTACTGGACCCTTTACTAGACCAGGAGACTCTGTCTAATTTTAAATAGTGATCTAACATTTCCAAGTAGGAATGTATGTATGCAGTTTTACCTATCAGAAATCATCTTTCTTTATGACAGGGAAAATGTCTCCCTCTCTCTSTCTCCCCCCACCTCCTTTCTCTTTCTCTTTTTCTGCTGAAATCTACATGTAATACATGGTTTGTTGTTTTAATTTTATTCTCCCTTCCCCCTCCCCCATATATTTTTTTCTTTATTTGATGGGGGCGCCAGGGATTGAACCTATGGGTGCTTAACCACTAAGCCACACACCAACCCTTTTATTTTTTTATTTTTTATTTCAAGACAGGTCTCGCTAAGTTGCTGAGGCTGGCCTCAAACTTGCAATCTTCCTACCTCATTTCCAGAGTTTCTGGGGTTACACGTGTGAACTACTGTGACTGGTGCTCTAACCTGAACAATARTCTTCTGTTAAGTATTTTGCAATCATTTAAGATCAGAAATATAAAGACATTAATTTCAAGTGGTAGCTTTAATTTCTGATTGTGACTATCAATTTTATTTACTTTTATTATTCTAAGAAGGAAGGTATTTTTCATAAAAAAGAGAAAAAATTTAATGCTGTTTTCTAGGTAATATTTAACACATTAATGTATGTGAAGAGATTTTGGTCCTTACTATTTCATAAAGGTGTCTTTGCCCCTTTGAAATGCCAGTGTCTGACAGTTGGAAATTCCTTACTCTGTTGAATAAGCTCTCGATCTGGGAAAATACCAAGAATATACAAGCAGTTGACCTTTAAACAAGCTTGCCTTCTACTGCGATTTTAAGTCTCTATGGCTGAACTTGTTTATAAGGGAATTTTTCTATTATATATTATCATAAATGTAATAGTTTATAAGTTATAAAATAATGTTAACTTCTCTGTGTTTCAACATACTAGAAAAAGGTGTGGAACCTTGAATGTCCTGTTACTTTCATCATTCAGGTACTATAGGGCTCCTTTCCTTTCTCACAGTGCTCCTTGTTGATGAATATTAGTGTGCATAAAAGTAGACCAACAAAACTTTATGCTTCATATATTTTTTGGCTTTCTACATAAGGCCCATTAAGTATGTATCTTTCCAGACAAATCAATTTCCTTCCTTCTCTGCCTCCCAGGTTTCTTGTCARTAAAATGAAGGGTTTTGAGTAACAGCCTTTTGAGCTCCATCAGTTACTGTCTCTATCTGTTATGGATTCTCAGTGGGGGTGATATTATTCCCAAATTGTTTCCTTAGGAGGTGGCATCTTAGAGATTATAATAGTCCCTGGAGCTCCAAAGGCCCACCATACCTAATATATATATATATATATATATATATATATATATATATATATATATCTCCACTAAATCTGAGATATTAAAATTCCATGGAAGGAAGGGTGCAATTAGAAGTTGTTTCCTTTGGAGGTGACAAGTTTTTCTTAAAAGTTGTGCAACAC